AGGTTCTTTTCCCTCCCTAAAGGCCCAGCGAAAGCTCCCACAGCGGAGCCTCTGCTCCACAGAGTGGACATTGCCCTGGGCTGTTCCTACGTGGTGGAAGACGGAAGAGGCTTTCTGCCCGCTTTCCGAGACTGGTCCTCCCAGCGTCCTGCCACCCTTGTGCTGAGGGGTGTCAGCGTCAGAGACGATGGGAACCTGAATGACGGAACTGAGTACAAAATCCCACAGGAAAATCCTGGCTCCTCTTCTCCCATTGTCTTTGAAGCCTCAGGTGAGCTGGGCTGGGAGAGGTATCACCAGGGTATGGACCACTTACATGCACTGGGCATCCCCAAGATTTTTGTTTAACTGAGTTAGAATCATAGAATCATATGACTAGACAATTAATTTTTGAATGGCCACTAAAATTTCATGCGTGATTTCCTGAATTCAGTAATTGAGACCTCAAGAAAGGAGCTTGGTCAAAGGCATTAGCAAACCCTGATGAGGCACCTCTCTCCTACTGAGGCTATCCTAGATTGCCTGTCTCTTGGGAAATACTTTGTCAGAAATAACTTAGGAATTGTTCTACTATGCAGTATTACTGACTCGTAAAGAGCATTCACATCTTTAGTTATGTGGGTGTTTTTTGCCGGTGGGAATAAGTGGTCACGAAGCAGAGCTGTCCTGCTCCTGCTGGCTGCGTGTGACTTGGCTCTCCTTGCTCTACTCATGGGTGCCATCCTGCAGTCCAGCCTCTGTAGTCCTTGCTTCACACATAACTTTGCAAACACAGCCAAGCAAAGATCTGAGCCTGTGCTTCACTGTGGTCTTGTTCACTGCCTACAGTGCTTGTCTGTGAGCACATGCTTCAGTACAAGCTTATTTAAGGCTCTGAAACATTTTCAGAGAGGAAGCTGAAGGCCTAGCAGGATCCAGTAGCCTGGGTCCAAGCTCTCCTTTAAGTGGTGTGAATGGAGTGGGCATGGGTGAATGCAAGCACACTACAACCAGGCTACTGTCAGGCATTGAAGACAGAGAGTTAATTTCCAATGGTGTCCATGGAAAATATATAGGTCACTAGGATGCTTAGCCTATGCTTAATCCCATGCTATGATCAGAGGCACAGATACAGCTTGTCTCTACATCTAGCCACTTCTGCCTTCCTGACATCTTTTCTTTCCTTACCTAGGATACTTCGGTGTCCCCTCTTTCTGGGTCCTGGCCTAAAAAGAATGGATGTTGCAGATCCTTACTGGGCATTTCACATACACAGCTTGCATTCTTGACTTAGCTAAAGGGTATCAGTTCTATTTATTCTCATTTCCTAACAGCTTCCTTTGCCCAGCGTGAGCTCTCTGCAGTCTGACAGGATAAAATACAACCAACAGACTGAGTGATGTAAGACAGTCACGAAAAACCTCTCATATTCATTACAGGCCTTCATCTATTAAGCCTAACCTGGCATTTCAGGGCTCTGACTGACCCCCACAGTGCATGATCCTTCTCCAAAATACGTGTCTCATCATCTTGCACTTTCTTTCCCTTTTTGGATTCAAACAGTTAAACCTTTTCCTCTATCCCCGTAGCCCAGTTGGTATCCATCCCACAGGCAGAATCCCTGCTGCACGCAGACTGTGAAGGAGAGGAGGTGAACTGTGAGATCTCTCCGTACAGCTCCCAGTGGGCTGGTGAGGAGCCATGCCATATCTCCTGGTTCATGGCCAACCTGCAGCTCTCTGGAGGGATCAGCATCGCCCTGGTGCTCAGAGGACCCCAGTGCGGCAGCCAGGAGGAGGAGAAGGAGCATCACACAATGCTGCACCCAAAGCTGAGGATTCCTATGAGCAAGGAGGGGACGTTGCTGACCACAGGTGATCAGGTGACCTAGGTTGCCCCCACAGTACCGACGGACAAGAGAGGGAGCATGCCTTCCCAAGAGTCCCACCTTCCACCAGGACTGAAGGCTGCCGGCAGTTGGTGCTTAGGGAAAAAGGGATTGTGCAGATTGACCCTCACTGTGCTGCCTCTTGGGGCTTCCCATACCTCAACCCATGAGGATGGTGGGCATTTGGTGTGCATCTGTGTCCCTGCCCCGCTAATCCCACCTGGCTGGCTTCCTCCAGTTCTTAAGTCCACATGGTCCCTGAGGTATCAAATAGGGTGCTTGTGCTTCCTCCTCCTCCTCTGGGTGGGGAATTCACTGTCAGCCCTTCCCACCTGAGGGTGCCTTCTTTAACCACATCTATTTAACTCTCTGATTGCCTGTGTTTCTCTTTCTAGTTGAATTTCAATCGTCATCACGCAGGACTTCCCTGAGCACACGTGTTGGCGGCTCAGTCACCCTCGACTGCCACTTTGCCTTGGCTCCCAGCTCCTCGCTGTTCTCCCTGGAGTGGAGGAGGCAGTACCGAGGCAGCAGCCATAGCCTTTTTCGGTACCAGGTGGGGAGCACAGGCCCGGCAGTGCAGCCAAAAGTCCATGTGGATGTGGCAGAGCTGCTGGGCAGTGGAGATGCATCACTTACCCTGCAAGGAGTGAGCGTGGGAGAAGAAGGGACATACATCTGTTTGGTGTCCACCTTGTTGCACCAGGCCCAGCACATCATCCAGTTACATGTGACTGGTGAGGAAGGGAAATGCCAGGGGGCAATGGAATTCTCATGTCCCCAAGCACTGAAACTTTTCCCTGCAACCTTATCCCATTGCTGCTAACACTCATTGTCACAGGCTGCTCATCTTCTCTCCCTTGTGGACAAGGACTTTTGTACTTTGCTAACAATAAGTCAATTCCCTGTTTATCTCCTCTAGAGCCTCCAAGAGTTCAGATAATTCCAGCAGCAGTGTCATTTGAGAGAGACATGATGACTACTCTGACCTGCAACATTGCCGGCTATTACCCCCTGGACATCTCAGTGAGCTGGACACAGAAAACTCCTGAAGATGACACAGAAATCCCTCTCTCAAACACACATTTCTCCAGCCACCGGCAAAACGGAGATGGCACCTACAGTGTCACCTCCTACGTCAGCATCAGCTCAGCCACAGCGCAGGCACCAGCCACCTACAGTTGCCATGTTTCACACGTGGCCCTGGCAGAGCCCATCTCTGTGACTGCCCATCTTAAGGCACCAGGTAGGTGTCAGGGGCAGAGGGACAAGTTCTTCATCCTTCCCAAGCTCCTCCCACCTCATCTACTCACCACAGGTATCAAAACTTCTGAGTCACACTATAGCTGCCTGTTTCTCCACACTTTCCTTCTGGTGTCCTCTCATACCCATCCTCTCTATCCTTCCCTTTCACTTACTCAGCTTTATTTTCACTCTCTGAAGCTTCTGGGGAGCAAGTATCTCATTTCCTTCAGGGGAAAAAGAGATTTTGTGACCAAAAGTGGAGCAACAGAACAGAAGTTTGTAGCGTGTGGGCTGAACCCCACTGGACATTCATGAGAAAACAGTCATGCACCAAGGAATTAGATGCCCAACTGGACTTGATGTTCAGATGGAGACTGATGCTGCTTGAGAACTACAGCAAAAAGTCCTCCTCCCTGTTAGAGCTGTTGGGGTTCTTGCTGTCCTGGCTCATGGGAGATTGCTCCTGTGTTTCGTCCTGATGCAGCAGGGAAAAGCAAGCAGTACTGCAGTTTAACAAGTTATGACACATCAGTCCAGCCACTATAACTGGCCCTGGGTTTGTGTGGCTTTACTTTACGTGTATTGTGTCAGATCTGTGTACCTGACAAGAGCACGCACATGGTGAGTTGCTGGGGGAGCTCATTTAGCTGTGACAACTCGCTGGCTGTTCAGCCCCTGCAGCCAACCTAACATCACTGATCCTCTTTTTCCTCTGCAGAGCAAGTGGGATCTGAAGGACTGGTGGGGAGTTTCATCGCGACTGTCACTTTCATCATTGTCCTCTTCATTGTGCTCCAGAGAAGAGCAGGTAGGAGATTAAAATGCTGAGCCGCTTTCCTTGTGGGCAAGAAGCAGCAAGGAGCATTCTCCACTCCCTTGTACTCCTGTTCAGGAGAGACAGAGGTCAGGATATCTCAGGATCCTGGAGGCAGGGGTGGGGAGCAGATGAGCTGGCGGCTCACTTTTGGTGGAAGGCAGCGTGAGGTGATGATTTGCACCACTTTGGTCTTCCTGCATCTTCTTATTTTCTCTCTTTCTCCTTTTCAGCTAAACCAAAGTCTGAGCAACTTCTAAGGGCTTCAGAATAGAGGAAACCCTTGCATCACCCTCCTGCAGTCCTTTGTCTCCCATCCCTTGACACACCCTTCTCAGGAGAGCCAGCCCTGGCCAAATATTAATAGATCTATCGGTCGGTGTGCGAGGGGTAGGGCTGCATCTGGTGGAGGAGCTGAATGGCCATTTGGAGGTGGACTCACAGCAAAAAATGTCTTCATCTTGGGAAGCAAGGTCGATAGCCTCAGCTCTTTGCTGGGATGCTGCATTACAGACAACGTGCCTACATGTTTAGAAGTACCTTTTTGCTTTCAGGGAAAATTAAATTGTGTCTAGGTGAGCGTTTGTGACTGTACATATGTATAAAGATATATGCATGTATGTGTACATGTTGTAAATAAGTATACAACATTTACGTGTATCTGTAGATGTATATAGGTATATTTGGTTAATGCCTACAGGGTGATGTTTAAGTAAGATATTTCTATATGTATGTGTTTTAACTGTGAAGCTGGGCAAATACGTAGGCAAAATTGGTGCTTGAGAATGATAAATCCTCAAACGGAGGAAGTTATAGGTTAAACTGATCGCAAATCAGGCAGTCAGAAAAATGTCCATGAGAAAGCTACAATAAAATTTTGTATAGAAATTTCACTGCTGGCAGTTTACAAGGCGGAGAAGATCTGTGGTTCTGTGGTTGTGAAAAAGACATGATTAAACCCTTTTCCTGCCTGATAGGGAATTTGAAGTTTGCACTTAGAAATCTTGTAGATAACCAACAGGAGGATAAAAAGCATAAGAAAGATGTGGATGGACAGGAGGCATATGGCACACAATAAAAGTGAGAATTTATGAAATATACAGGGTGATAAAGAGTGTTCAGAATAATCTGGAAAAAACTGATTGATGCATATGTTAATGGCACTTGGAAGGAGTTTTCAAGAAATTCTAGTAACAGCCTAGACTCTTACTGGGTGGATATAGGTAAAACTGTTGATAGAGAAGATTTCTGATGGAGGCTTTTTCATACAGATTATATAGTTGTTTGTATACAGAAAGAAACAGAATTGTGTATTTGTGCTACATGAGGATGGCAAACAACTTCCTAATCTATTTGAGAACTAAGGAAAGTTTTAGCAGCATCAATTAAGCATAAGTATTTTCAGATCAGTAGCCAAGAAAGTTTGCATCTTAGAATCATAAAAGATTTTGCTGAGGAGGCACCTGGCTCACTGGGGTTAGGTATTTTAAAATACTGGCACACTAGAGAAATCCCAGGATTTTGGAAGAGAGTGTTACGCCAGTCTTCACAGAGCAAAAGCAAAATGGCGCCAATGACTGTTAGATGGTTCCCTAAAAATAATCACAAGTAAGAGAGTGCAAAGTTATTACAAGTTATCTAACAAATGCTTCAGTGGAACTAGATGAACTTTGAGGTCCCTTCCAACACAAACAACATGATTCTTTGAGCAAAAATTTTGTGGTTTGTTTTTTTTAAAAAGTTGCAAGAAACAAACTAGGTTTCGTTCTTTGACAAAATAATAAATTTTTTTGATAAAAGCATAGATGCAGATTTAACAAACCAAGAAATTTGTAAATTCTGAAGAAAAAAATCATAGCATGTGTGTACATCATAATTTGCATTACGTGGAATAATTGCTAGACAAATGGCAAAAATTCATTGTTCAGAAGGAAGCAGCAGAAACTGCTGAAAGTGTTTGCCTCTGTGCTGTTTAATATTTGCATCAGGAGATACAATTGTAAAAAACAAAATTTGCAAATGGAAATATCTGTAGCTGAAGTGGAGGGGGTACTTCAGATCAACAAAAGTCAGCTGGCCAACTGAACGGACATAAACAAGGCAAGACGCTCAGTAATGCCAGTGGAGTCTTCTCAGGTACTGGTCCAGCAGCTGCCTCAATGCCACAAATCCCTCTCAATTGCCTGACCTGTGGAAACAGCTAAGAGTGACCATGGGCAGAATGTAACTGCTACTGGAAGCAGTTTTTGCTTGTGTTGTTTCCTCTTCATTTTTGATGCACTACTAGTAAACAAGTAATTTTAATTCCAACAACTGTCCTCTGTTTATGTATCTCACACACCTCTCTGAGGAGTCAAGTGTGGATATCCTGCAGTTGGCTGTGCTGGCAGCACTGCGTTGCAGAATTAAGACTTTCATCCTTGAGCTCTTTTCTAAACAAGTACATAACTCTTGCTTGCTAATTATGAAAAGAGACCCTGACCAGCCAAGTATAGCTCATGTTGGGAGTTTGCTCGTGAGAATGGACCGATAAGATGCTTCTTGTACATGAGATGTGCAAGGAAATGGACAGGAGAGTATGATCAAAACAGACCTGGGAAAGTCTGTTCTCCCTGTGTGATAAGAGAGTGTTTGAAGGAGTACGTGAGCTAATAACAATCCTGGCTGTATAGTCTGGTCTCCTGTTTGTAACCCATAAATAATGCTTCTTGTTAATAAGTATAAATATGTGCCTGCTTGCAATAAAGCTGACTTCAATCCGCCTCATCAGAGTCCATGTATCAATACGCCACAGTCAAGCCTGCTGTGTGGTTCCATGGCCTCTGAGCAGACAGGCTAATCCCTCTGCAGAGTGGGACTTGGGAAGGCATGCTCCAAGGGACCTTTGGTCCCCTTGCTCCCAGGCTCTGGACCAGGACTCAGGGAATATTTTTGTACTGACTCATGGACTCAAAGACACAGCCAAGTAATGGAGGGGGGTGTGACAGTTGTCTCCTGTGCAGCCAGGGAGGAAGGACAGGCTGCCGAGAGCAGGAACCTCACTGGCAAGCACTGGAGAAGTCACTGTCCCCTATGACTGACAACGCTGAGTTGGAAGCCCAGCAAAGCCTGAAGATGCAACGTCCAGCAGCAGAGAAGGCACCTACTTGGGCTTTTAATATGTTTAAAGCTTAGAGGTGGTCCAGAGCAAAATTACAGGACCTATTAAGAAGGTCAGAGAATGCCTTCAAGGGGGCATTTTGAGGCATTACTCTGGTCTTACTAGATCAGTATCTCTCAGTCACACCACTGAAAATACAGAGTACTGGTGACACCATAACCTGCAGAGAAAGACACATTGAGAGTCAACAGCTGCAAGTTATATTTAGGCATGTTCATAATAGAAAAAGACATAACACATTCAACCACAAGTGTGATTGTCCTAGCCATATGTAAATAAAAATGGTAGACTACCTCTCAAAGTCTTCAAAGAAAGGACAGGTATACTTTTTCAAGCTGTCCTTTAATAACAACTAAAATAATTTACAAAAAAAAACCCAAACAACAGTTAATGGCATCTATTAAAAGAGACCCTGGGTAAAATTCCAGGGCCTGTGTTATATACAAAGCAGAGCTGGTGGTTTGTCTCCCATCTTGGCCCATAACCTGACATAAAGGAAAAAAAAATAATGGAGAGATGGAAGGAATGCTTTAGGAGTGGAGGTACTCCTCGTAAGGAACGGCAATTGATTTTATTTGACTACCTACACCCTGATGCTCTCCACTAGAGTTACTGTGGGAAGTCTACAATTACTGTGCCCCTGAAGGTCTTAAGCTGAATTTAAACCACAAAAACAAGTAAAGCGTATACCTAAACCAGAAAAAGTAGTATTTACTGACAAAGTGACCTTGTGTTTAACAACAATGTAACAAATTATATACAAATATAACACATTATATAACATTATATAACAAATATAACACATTTATTACAGAAAATGCCACATCAAAGTCAAACTTGCTTGACTGCATTGCAAAGATGTGGATGAACAATATTTTATGCTCTGCATATCTGGGAGACAGCCATGCTGCCTTCCAAGGTCAAATGTGCCGTGGCCAAGTGCCACATGGCATCGCTGCCTGGCCACGTGAATTGAGAAGCAGGAATCTGGTCGTCATCTGACTAGCTGCAAGGCAGACCAACCCGTTCTAAGGCATACCGTGCCAATACAAAAAAAAATATTAGAGGTAGGTGCTTTAAACTAGTTCTTTAGCAGAATTATTTGATATAAGACATGATATTTGATATGAATTTTGTCAACCTGCAAAACCTAAAATTAAGTACTTTGCACTTGAATCAATATGAGATTACTGAGGGGCTGTGGCTGCATTGTATTGTGAATATGGACAAGCCAGAACTTCTAATGTTGTCCTGAAAGAGCAGTCATTTTGCAAACAATAAAGCCAGGCTCAAGATTATCTTTTCCACATAGGCTCCCTCTGTTTGATTAAGTCTCTGCAATATGAGCTAGCAAAATCGATCCAGCAGTCTAACTACATTGGTTTAGATGCACTTTATAAGCATAGTTGAAGCTCAGCTGGTATGTGCCTCCAAGAGAACAGACATTAACTAGAAGCATTTAGATAAACAGTGTTTGCTTCTGTCTCACTTTGTATCATAATCACACATTCTGTGGTGTTGGCAAAACAACCGCAAACATTGCTTCTCCAACTCAGCTACTACAGTGCAGAAACCTTGATCAGTCAATGCCATTCCTGGAACATGACACAGTAAAGGAGCGGCCACTCTTGACCCCGAAGGTCAGTGTGTAGGCCCTTCCCAGCCGAGCAGCTGCTACATACACACCGCTGGAATTCAGCGTAAGTGGCCCCATTCAAGGCACCACATTAAGGACAGCTTAGCAAAAATTGCTTTTTAAATCATAGAGGTGTCACTCATGAACCATTTGAGAACGACATTTTTGAAACACATGGAGTACTGAGAGATGTGCTCAACCTTACATGTAATTGCAAAGTTCATCATAGATGAGAGTAGAAGGAGCCCTTATTTTGTGCCTGAAGGGTTACAATGATGCAGCTCCTTACAGTGAGGAAAGCAGTCCTTTATAAAGCTTGCTCCACCTTGGTACAATATATTTAGGCTGAGAAGCTTCAAATTTCACCTGTCATGCTCAGCTTCTTTCAGACTCGTAGTGCTACGCCTAATGCACAGGAATTACTCACAGCTAAAATCCCTCTCCCATAGTCCATCACGCAATGACAGACTGACTTGACTTGTTCAAGTCTAGCAGGAAACATGTCCACACTAACTGTGGACATAATACCAAACTCTCCCACATCTCCCCCATCTTGGTCAATGAGCTGCAAGGTATTACTGCAACCCAGGTGGTAGGGATGGGCCAACATAAAACATCAGGGCCAGCATTCATGCTTTCTGGCTTTAGATTTGTTGCAGATCAAAGCTTGAAGAGGCTAGATTCACTACAAGATCTTGGCGTCATGGCGGATCCTCAGTGGGATCGACACCATGAGCAGTAGGTGGGTCACACGTATACGCAGTAAGAGGACTCCCATATGGCTGCAGGTTCTGGAAAGCCCACAGACATCAGGTAGCTCTTCTCAATGGTTGCATTCCTCTTATCATAGAGGATAAGCTATACAACAGCTGCTTCTCCTCCATAACAGTTATGCTGCACCTGGGCTTCTTTCTGTGAAGAGCACAAAATGCTGATCAAAGACACATATTCACTAGTGCTGCATGTTTGGTTTTCTTAGTAACAGCTATCTTCTGCATTGATTACTTTCTCTGATCTGTCATTCATCTGGATTTCACTGATGTGAGCAGTGACAACCTACAATGGGGGATGAAGCTCCTGTAACATCCTGCAATTCCTCCCTCTCAAAAAAGCAACCAAAAAAAGCCCCAACAACCAAAAAATCCAAACAAATTAAAAAATTACACGAAAAGGAGAAAGAAGAAAAAGGGAAGAGGGAAACGCAAAAGGTAAAACTGAAAGAAGAAAAGGAAAAGAGAAAAGGGAAAAGGGTTGGGTTTTTCTTCTCCTAAAGCCTCCAGCTCTACTACAACCATCCAACCAACAACTAATCAACTTGGGTCCCAGACAAAAACATGAGATGTGTGCTTCCCCTCAGAGTATGATGTGTCATAGTAAGCCAGTCCAGCTCCTACCCACTGCCAAAACATGCTCCTCCTCCCAGGTCAGCTGAAAATCCAGATTCTCCCAGTGCACAGAATGATGGGTTCCCACACGTCTCCTTTAATGAGCAATGAGAAGATGCTGCAAAATGGCAGATACCTCCTCTGCATGAAAAATTAATGGGGAAGCTCAAAATACCCATATGGAGTGGAGAGGGCTGATTCCAGCCTCCAGGACCAGCAGTAGTTGCCAGCAGTCCCTGCGGAGGAGACACAGCAGAGGAAAGAGGACCATCCCCACCCATGTCTCCATGTAGATGCAATGGTTGCAGCACTGGGAGCTCGTTCTGCCTCCACAACTGCTGAATCAGGAGAGAAGAAAGGAGAAGGCCGCCACCACCACTTCATTTTGATGCTGACACAAACACACCGCTCTGGCACTGCTGCTGTCCCCTTCGTAAGTAGCTGGATTAAGGTCTATGGACCACAACACTCATTATGTGCTACAGCAAGAGGACAGGGACTCTGCAGATCACAGCTGGCTTCGATGCTACCAGGCAGCATTCATCCAAGCATGCATTTAAATCCTCAGGAGGGTGACCATAGCACACACCTTTGTTGGGCTGGCAGATGACAGTATGGATTTCACAACCCTCTGCAGATACAGGCACCATTTAGTTCTGTGCCAGGCTCAGTCCTGCTTCTAATTTCTCCAGACCCTCTTAGACTCTTGTTGTACCCACCTCTCATTTTTTATTCATGCTGTCTTCATGCAAAGCCAAAACAAGTCACAGAACCTCTTCCACCACCTGATCATGACCAAACCGGCCACCTGTAACTCCAGGAGGGTGATAGTAGATTGCAGAGGTGATTGCACAGCCTACTGCTATGCCTTGTGCAGTTACAAGTCTGCAAAGGATCACAAGGCATCATCCATCACTCTCAGATGCCTTCAGGAAGCAGTGGTTATACTGTTGCAGATGCTGTGCTCTGTGATCCCTCTTTCTGGTTTTTGTTTTCACCTCATCCACTAGCCCTCTTCACTCATTCCTCACCATAAGCATTGGATTCCTCCCTGATTTGCTCTTCCTCAAGCATCCTCCTCTCTCCTTCTCAGGGAGACCTCAAGATGAACAGGGCAAACATGCTTCTCATTAATACTCGTCCAGTCTTCCAACACTTTCTGGTCAGGGACCTCCTGACTGGGTGTGGTTTCTGGGGTTTAGTCACCGCCTGTAGGTTTCTCTTCCATGAAGCTGCCCATTCTCCTCTTGAGCCCATGACAAGTCTTTAAGAATTGGCATCATATTTACCATTTTCCCCTCCTCAGGTTCCGCCATGGCGGTACGCATGGGTTACACGCTGCTTGGAGCAGTTCAGCTACTTTATTCTTGAGTTCCTTTAAGACTCTTGGAGAAATGCCATTGCTCCCGGCAAGTTGTTACTGTTTGCTTTGTCAGTGTGGTGAAAAGCCCTTTCCACAGCCGCTTCAGTTTCAGACATGTTCGTTGAGGAACTCCACCCTGCTGAAGAATGGGTTCTGCCACCAGGTTCACTCACTCAACACTTAACACGGATGCAGAAATTTCTGCAGCAGCCTTATCTCCCGTGTGCTCCTCTCAGAGCCTGATCACCGGTTTGCCCTTCCAAACATCTGGTAGGTCCCTGATAGGCTTCAAGAAGTTCCAATGTCAATTTGGGTTCCTTTTCCTAGTTGTTCCTTGAAGCTTTTTCTCACCTGACTTAATGCCTTTCTACACGCAACGTGCCAAAGTTTATATCCGCCTCTGCTTTTCCCATTGTAGGCAACTTCAGCTTTTTTTTGACAGAAACTTTTTGTGATTTCCCTTACCCCACTGAACCAATGGTTTCTGCACCCCACCTGGAAAGCATTCATCCCACTTTTCATGGGCCAGCCCAGTTAGTAAGGATGGCAAAGGGTGACAGACAGTGAATTCAGCTGATGAAAATATAAAAGGGGACGCACTTTCAGACAGACAGAAGAAAACGGTTTTGGCAGATGATGGTATGGGCCATCAATGCTGGGTAACAGGTCAAAACAAAGGCTGTCAAAGCAGAACAAAGAGAAGAGAAGTAGCTGGAAAACAAGAGGTACAGGTCAGGGTGTATAGGGGTAAAGGAACTGCTTCAATCTTTGGCAATATTCTCCCAGGAAATATTGAATATTAAAGATTTTTTTTTCATTTATTTTAAGGAAAGTGTCCAAATACTAAGGCATAAACACATAGATTCAGGGTATATGTATATACAAGGAATATAAACACATGCAATACAAAACCAGTGCTGGTATACAAAAATTCAAAGAACTCATGCAATGAAACTCCACCCGGAAAAGTGGAGGCATCATTTTCTTTCAAGAAATATGACAAATGCTTTAATAACACAAGATGCATAGTGTGTACCTTGGGCTCCAGAGATCCCAAACAGAGTGGATATTCATATGACAGATATTCATGTAAAATGCTGACTGAAGCTCCAGAACGTAGACATGTGTAGTTGTCAACCTAGAGAGTCAAGCAAGAATCTTTGCTTCACTGTAGATAATTTTTTCCAGTTGCATCCTAGGCTTGTAGTTTTCAGCTAAGTAGGGTTTTTTCTCTCGCTCGGGAGGGAAATTAGAGACAAAGAGCAAGATTTAGTCTCTAATGACCTGTCTATTTGAATCATCCATCAGAGAAGCCTATGTGACAAACAAACAAAAATAACAACATATTTTTAACTTCCAGTTCCTAAAGTTGGTATCTCACAGTAGCAGATCCCACGTCCCTTCTTGCAGTGCTTCTTCAGGTAAAATGAACAACAGCTTTCTCACAGATCCACAATTGCTTTGTCGAACAGGGGTTGCTGGTATAAATAACTGATCCGTAAAAAGAGGCGCATGAGATGTTGTCATAGAACACAACCCTGGGAAATTGAAGGATACTGCTTAGTGATGTCTCAGTGACATCGTGTGACCTATATTTGGATCATTTGTAATCATACTGATTTCCCACTGGAACGTAGATTTATTTCCCCCTTGGAGCTCTTTTATTTGTTCTAAGTGGTCTTTTTGGGTCCAGTGCATGTGATCAAGCTGCACTTTGCCACCCATTGCTCCTTATACAGGACATTAACTGGGAGCTCCATAGCAGATGCTATGGTTTCCATGCTCCTTCATCGTTGCACGTGTGACAAACATGGGAAAGTGAGAGGAAGCACAAGTCCCATAGAATTTACTGGGGCACCTCAAACAGAACCACACCGGTGCCAGGCTATGAAGGCTTACCAATTTGTTTCTTCTTTTGAAAAAGCTGTTCCGTCCTCCCAGTACCAGCCGCTCTTTTCAGATATGTATGATAATCCAACCCAGTAAAATTGTGAATCCCGTGGCAGAGAAGCCTGCAGATATGGGAAAATCATCACAACACTATTTTAAAAATAAGACCTAAGTTCCTGTGTCTCTCAGCTGTGAAGGTTCTGTAACCTTCACAGGAGATAACTCTTACTCAGTAGGAAAATAGCTTGTTGTGCATGCTTGTTTTCTATGAGATAGTGCTGACTGCTCTGATTATAGGATTATTCAAATACTATTGTTTATTGAATTTCCACAAGACAAATCTAACCTGAATCTGTAAAAATACTGCTTTTTAAAAAAGAAAACAACAAATAAAAAAGCAATTTTATCTGGTCTGTCTTTAAGTATCTAAGCTGCCTTTAGATATCTGTAATTTAGATAGAGATGTGGGAACACCGTGCAAGTCCTTATGACAGTCAGCAGAGATCTGGCCAACAGGTCCAATCGAGCCTGAGAGGTGATTCATCTCACCTGGTGGGAATGCTACTGCATAGTGACCATCTTGACCAGATCTCCCACCAACTGCAGTGGAGCCCGAGGAAGCAGCTCAGAATCTGCAGACCGCTTACGCTGCAGGTGCCTGAAGTTAGGTGAGATGAATCCCAGCCTAGAGGGCAGAGATTGTTGCCTAAATACAAGTCCCTCACACTTCCTGAGATTCACCAGCCTGTCTGAGGTCTTCACTTAAGGCTGACAGACAAGACCCAGAACCTATGGAAGAACTGTGCCTTGCTGAGGCATTGGATCTTAAAGGTCTTTTCCAACCTAATTATGATTCCATGATTGCTTGGAAGTCAAAGAGAATACCCTTGGGTATCTCAGATAGCCCTAGAAACCTATGCCTAGGCACCTGAATTGATCCCTAGGTGTCTAAGTGTCTAAGAGGTGCCTCAGCATCTTAGTCTCTTAGGTCCTCCAGACGCTCTACTGATGCTCAGTGCCATGTTTAGGGACTCATGCAAAATCTAAAATCCACAGCTGGCTTAAACTGATCTGGCCTCAGTCTGGCTGTCTACATCAAACATGAAAGAAAAAGCAAGAACCTAGACATCTGGAATAAAGCTATTGAGGGATTTATATAGCATAGCAAAATCATGTCTTGAACTCAGTATTGAAGGTGTGGTGTTCAGGTGTCTCCCAACAGTATGAACCACAATTCTGACCTCAGGATGCTGCTAAACTCAATAATAAACCATGTCTAAGTCGAGAGAGGTCCTCCTGTCCCTTTGCTCTGCCCTGGTGAGGCCACATCTGGAATATTGTGTCCAGTTCTGGGCCCCTCAGCTCAAGAGAGACAGGGAACTGCTTGAGAGAGTCCAACGCAGAGCCACAGAGATGATGAAGGGAGTGGAACATCTCCCTTATGAGGAAAGGCTGAAGGAGCTGGGTCTCTTTAGCTTGGAGAAGAGGAGGCTGAGGGGTGACCTCATAAATGTTTATAAATACGTCAAGGGGGAGTGTCAGGAGGACGGAGACAGGCTCTTTTCAGTGATGTCCAATGACAGGACAAGGGGCAATGGGTACAAGCTGGAACATAGGAGGTTCCACAAACATATCAGGAAAAGCTTTTTCACTGTGAGGGTGACAGAGCACTGGCACAGGCTGCCCAGGGAGTTTGTGGAGTCCCCTTCTCTGGAGACATTCAAAACCCACCTGGATGTGTTCCTGTGTGACCTGCTGTAGGTGATCCTGCTCTGGCAGGGGGGCTGGACTGGATGATCTTTTGAGGTCCCTTTCAACCCCTGACATTCTGTGATTCTGTGTGATTCTGTGATGTCTCCAGTTTCTGGTGTGTCTCTATCCATCTGATTTTCACTTTTAAAAACATCCTGTAGAGTTAAGAATCCCCAACGGAAACTAACTCCATCTGGAAAAAGGACAGAGATTTCCAGGGAAGCTGGTTTCCTTTTAAAAGTTTTATGTAGCAAAAAGAAAATAAGGATATTTGGGCTTTGTTTCAAATTAATAGCTGTTGAAAAAGAGATTCACAGTTTATGTGTGTACAAAAAGGGAGAATATAGTAGTGAGAGCCAATTACAGATTTTTCACTAATCAGCAAAAAAACTCCCACATTACTTAAAATTGTTAATTTCCTACAGTTTTTTTAGTCATCATAATATAATCCTCTGCTGTGTACTCTTTGTGCCATCACTAAGGTCGCTGCATGAAGGTATATCACAAAGTCAGAAAACAACCTTTTATATTCTCTTTGCATTGCAGCATGTAAGTGACAGTACCATGGTGAATCGGCTGCTCTAGATTTCACATAGATGTGGGTTTGATGTTGGGAGTCCTTAGTACTAAAACTTGTGGAAAGAGATGATGAAAACATACCTTCTGTGTGCTGGATCTCTCCTCCATGCTAATAGTATGCAATTAGTTTTCTCTATGAATACCTAAGTATTAGCTAATTAAGTTATCCTATACAACGGCTCATTCTATTTCTTATCATACGCAATTTTGATATTTCTCACGGCACACAATTTAGAAAGTGCTGCAAGTCATAACAACCTTGTGACTTGCAGGAAGGCTACTTAATCCAGAGAAATTTAAATACGTGCATTGCAAACAACCAGACTATTTTCGGCTTGCAAGATTGCTGGAAGTTAAGACATGTGACATAAAGGAATGTGTGAGGTTAAGACTGTACCATCTTTGCTCTGTCTTTTAGCACAAGAAGAGTGGAGTTTCTCGAGGAACAGAACTCTTGGCTTTGCTTCCATGTTTTCTTCTGCTTTGAAATGTAGAAGCAGCTGTCAGCTCCACTGTTATGCCAGCTTGCTGGACAGAGAGCACATTTTGTTTCTAGAAATCAGAGAGAGTGTTATGCAGACCTGCAAAGAATAAAGGGGCTTTAGCTACTGGCTTGACTGAGAAAAGATTAAGAGTCACGACGATTCAGCTGAGCTCTTAAGGGATGAGACAAGTTGTTCTGCATGCTACTGTACACAGGTCCACATCTCAAATACTACCGCAGTTAAAACAGACACAGACATGGATGGGAATGTGAACAACCTGGTCTAGTGGGATGCGTCCCTGCTCATGGCAGGGGGGTTGGAACTAAGATGACCTTTAAGGTCCCTTCCAGCCCAGACCATTCCATACTTCTATGATTTCCCTGTGATTCAAGTCTCTCAGTTAATGGGCTCTGAAAAGGCTGTGATTTGTGTTTATTTGCATAACAACCAGTTTTACCATTTTTGTCCTTTCCTTCAAAGCACAGCGCTTCCCTCAGTTCCTGCAGCTTCTTGTCTTCCTCAGGATCTTTGGAAACCTGAAAAACTGAAGGGCACAACAGTGCTTATCAAAGACTGTTTTTAAAAATTTGTAGCTTTAAATGCAGCTGCAATTTGCAAGTCTTAGCATTCTTTTCTTTTTTGTCTACTACATTTGTATGTCCACCATTGCGTGTACATATTTTGCATTTTCCTCACCAGGAGGGTTGTGCAGCACTGAAAAAGGTCAACTAGGAAAGTGTGGCCATCTCCACCCCTGAAGATTTTCAAAAGTCATCTGGACAAAGTTACACCTCAAGTTCTGTGTGCAGTTCTGGGCTTCACAGTACAGGAAGGACATCAAGGTGCTGGAGGAAGTACAGAGAAGTGCAACCGGAAGGATTAGGGAACTAGAGGGTAAGCTTTATGAAGAGAGGCTTAGGGAGCTGGGGCTGTTCAGCCTGGAGAGGAGGAGGCTGAGGGGAGACCTTATCAGCCTCTACAACTCCCTGAAAGGCAGCTGTAGTGAGATGGGTGTTTGCCTCTTCTCCCTAGTGAATAGCAATAGGACAAGAGGGAACGGGTTCAAGTTGCACCAGGGGAAGTTTAGATTGGATATTAGGCAAAACTTCTTCACTGAAAGGGTGGTGAAGCATTGAAACACATTGCCAAAGGAGGTGGTGGAGTCACCATCCCTGTGTGTGTTTAAAAAACGGCTGGATGCAGCACTTCAGGAGATGGTTTAGTGTTAGGGTGGTGTAGGGCTGCAGGTTGGACTTGATGATCTTAAGGTCCTTTCCAACCCTGATGTTTCTACGTTTCTGTGAGTTTATGTGGGGTTTGTGATAGTCCAGCTTCAAATACTGGGGAGGAAAGGGTGGATTTCAGGCTAGAAACCTGAGGAATTGCCTTTGAGCTAACACTTCTGTGATGGCATGGACCATCCTGCATGTTAGTCCTGGGCACTTGCAACTGCTTCCCTCCTGCCAAAAACAAGCTGGGAACTCTCTCTCTCTCCTTCCAAATGTAATGTGGCATCATCTTTTGCTCTTAATTGAAATGTTTCTATGGAAAATCTCCTGTGATCGTTGGGCAAATGCACCAGTCACAATGCTTTGATGCCAGGATTGCCTTCCCTGCAAAAAGTTTACAATTCGAAAAGAAAACAAGGAACCGTTAACTGCAAAATATCCCGGTAACAGTCACAGGGAGGCACCACTATACAGACAATGTGGCTAATGAGATGAGCTTCTAGCTGTGACGAGTAAGAAATGGATTTCAGAAATGGGTTAGGGGTTAGGGTCTAGAGTTAGGGTTAGAGCTAGGGTTAGGGGTACATATTAGGGTTAGGGTTAAACTTGGGGTTAAGGTTATGATTTAGGATTAAGGTTGGGGTGATGCTTAGGGCTTAAGTTTATGCTTAGGGATAGTTTTAGTGATTAGCTTTAGTGCCCAGGTTATCGTCACTGAGGTTTGGGTTTAGTGTTAGGGTTAAAGTTAGTGCTTAGTTTTAGGATTAGAGTTGGAGAGGTTTAGGTCCTGTATACAGGATTAGTGTAACCTTTGGGGTTAAGTTTAACTATAAGGGCAGACATTAGTGATCCCAAGTGACCTGTTGACACTCAGCCACGTCGGTAATTCTGTGGGAGAGCTGTGCTGTTACCGTTCTTGCCATATTATTTCCACTGGGGGAACAGAGACACTAGGGATAGTCTGTAGGGGAAGAAGAAGGCGGCGTACATCTGGAATTCACTCTCACAGCAGCAGCTTGGGACTCGACAGTACTTACACAGGGCTAGCAGGGCTACTAGCCCTGTCAGCAGCACCAGGCACAAAACGAGGAGAGCAAAGGCCACTGGCCGCCATATGGAAGATGAGGCAGAGGCTCCTGGGACAAACAAAAAACCCATTCAGCAACAAAAACAGCAGATGTCCTCACCAAACAGTGGTATTACCTGCTGTCTGACAGCCTTGGTTCACCTTTATCCCTTCCTCAAAGCCTCTTTTTCTTGTGGTGCAGTATTTGTTATCACTGTCCTGAATTTCCCAGAGTAATTTGTAGAGAATAGCTATTTATCCACTGAGACGGCTTATTAACTGAGGCTCTAGTGCCTGAGGGTAAAATTTCTTCTCATGAGGCAGTTAAACAGATTAGATTTTGCAGTTCCCACAGTCCTGGAAATAACAAAACAATCCCTAAGACTTCTCCATCTTGAAAAGGAAAAATCAACGTCTAGTTTTGGATAATTAGTTAAGGAACCTCTCACTGCGGTTTCTAAATGATTGCAGTGTTTTAATATTAAATTGTACATCTTTCTTCAGTCCCTTACTGTGAATTTCCATTGTGGTTCAATGTCTAATCAGGAATATAGTTCTGCAGAATTTAACAGCTGACTATCCTCTGATTAAAATATTTTCTTTTACATATACATATATATGCACATTTTTCCCTTTTATTCTCCCATTTTCTGTAATATTCTTTCATACCTGTTCAAGAGTGTTCAAGTTAATTGAAAAGTATTACACACATCAAGTATTTTACTGGAGTCCAGTGCATCAGAGCAAGCACCTCCAGGGAATTAATCTTTTGTTAGGTGGGAAGTAACACCCACCTGAGGTGCCCAGAAGCCCATATAGACTTGGCAACTAAAACTCACACAGCCAAAGTTAAGTGAGAATGACCCTAACCTTCACCAGTTAAGGTAATTTGAAAAGACTGCAGGTGACACCACTTTGGTGATGAAGGGTAGAACCTCCTTTTAAAGGGATCTAAAAGTCCTAGGGAAGAGCTTTAAGTGCAGCAGCTCAACAAAGACAAATGTGAATTACGGCACCTGTAACAGTGCAGTTCCATGCACCAGTACAGGTAGAGGACTGATGGACTAGGCAGCAGCTCTGCTTCATGGTCCCAGTGTATAAGTTGAACATGAGTCTTCAAGGGAGCCCATGTGGCAGGGAAAGCTGACCAGCACTGGGCTGCATTGGCGAGACTGCAGCCAGTAAGTCAAGAGAAGTGATTATTCCACTCTACTTGACAGTCATGAAGCCATGTCTGGGCTATTGTGTCCAGTGCTGAGTTTCCCAGTTCAAAAGAGACATCAGCTATCTGCAGAGTCCCGCAGAGGAACACTGAATTGGTCAGGGACCTAAAGAGAGGATGAAGAATCTAGGCTTGTTTAGCCTAGAAAAGAGTAGGCTAAGGGAAGACTTAATTTCAGTCCTTCACTACCTAAAGGGGCTTTATAGCAAAGTCATATTCTTCTCAGAGAGGCACAGTGAAAGGACACAATACAACAGTCACAGGTTGCATCAGGGAAATTTGCAAGGAAAAAAAAGATCTCTTCTTTTAACACTGGAACTAGTGCTCAGAGAAGCTGCTAGATCTCCATCCCTGGAGGTTTCCAAAACTCATGTGGATAAGACCCTGAGCAACTTGATCAGACTTTAGAACCAGCCCTTTTCAGCAGAAGATTGGAAAAGATGAACTATAGAAGTTCCTCCCAAGATAATTTAGTCACAACTCTATCTACAAGTTCTCTGTGCATATAAAAAGGACATTTAAAGAGTTTCCTGAGCTTGCTAACCTTTTTTTTTTTTTTCTGCAAAGTTCTTCTCCTGGATCAAAATCCCTGATATTTTATCCTTGGTTTTCTGGCTGCTGCTTCTCAACAGCTTCTCCTCCATCCTCCTTGTCAAGCATTCATTCTCAACCGATAGCCCTAGATCTTTTCCAGGAAGCACCAAAGTGAAATTAATTCAGTCTTTGTCTATCCAACCTGCAAATAGCAGCAATGATGTTTGTTTCACGTGCAAGCCACATGGCGAACCTATGAGCAGCAACAACATAAAGTCATCATTTTATGATCTCAGGCATTCCACAGGGAAAATCCACTACCTTAGTTAAGATGCAGCTTGTTCACAGAACAATTTTGAGTATAAACAAATAAATACTCCTATCAGAGCTTACATTCAGTATTAAGACTGATAAACAGGGGCGCCTTTCTACTCCCCATAGCTGAAGAAATTGCTTCCATTTTCATGGTCTGCATTATCTGATAAAATTATAGAGCCTTCCCCTCTTGTAGTGCCCTGCTGTAACAAACAAGTCCTAGCAAAATGAAAAAAAAAACCATAGAAAGGTGGAATTTGTCTTCAAATTGAGGTAGATGGAAAAAATACTTGGAGTAAAGAGAGACTTCGGGAAAAATATCCTCTGTGATCATGAGCAATAGCACACAAGACTCCATTATGATTATTCTTTCTGCTGTTCCTGTGAACTTTTATCTAAAGTGATCAACATAAACATGCAAATTTAAGTTATGCCCCAATTTAGATAGAAAAGCTAACTTCCATCTGTACTTACCATCTACTGTAGCACAACGGGCTGGAGCCTTAATTGCAGAACATTTATTCCTGCTTGAATATCTAGAAGTAATAACTGAAGCTGAGGGCCGTAAATTTAAAGCAGTGTAGCCTTCCTCATCCTCCATCTCCAGCTCATCACACTTCTTTCCTGCAATAGCAGTACTTTGGGAGTAGTGGCACACGGCAGCAAGACCAATGCCGAGGAGACGAGAATGGTTCGTGTTTCAGCATTTCCAGTGAAACCACAGAGGAAACTGGCTCTGTTCTGATTACTGTGCTATAGTAAAAGTAACATATTATGAGTGCATAGAGGAGTTCAAGTGGCACTGTCGAAGATGGTTATTTTATTCTTGAATGTGAAGGTGGGGAGATTTGGCTCCTGAAAGGAACCTAAGACTGTTCCATTTCACTACCCACCTGGTCTGACCCCATAAATACAGCATCAGGATTTTCTATCTCCTTAAAATGAGATGCTTTAGAAATAGTTGCTGTTTTGAGTCAAGATATGAAAGATACGTTCTCATATCAGGGCACAAATACAACACAACACCTGCATCCAAAGCAATAGCCCGCATTTCCATACTCCATTATGAAATAAAAGTGAAACTATTTTACAAAAATTCAGGATTCACGTGACCGCTCAGCCTGTGTCAGAGAAAGACCAGACTGCACTGAGGACCTCTCTGCCGTTGCGCTGCACAGAGTAGTCACTGTGCAGAAATGGCTTATCCATCCTCACCCTCCATCTCTAGCTCTCTGCAGTGCCTTGCTCCGGTGCTGAGCTGTAGCTCTTAAAAATCTTCGGTGACCAGCTCTGCTTAACATAACACTTGTCCCAGTGTGATGAGTCACATCGTGGTCACAGCGTGAATCAGAAGGAAATTGCAAGAGAGGAATGTCGGTGGTAGCTGTTCCTGCTCTTGTCTGTAAAGTTCAGAGTCTCCCATTTGAATAATAATATCAATAGACTGGTAATGCACTGTAATGACTGGGCTATTCTTCTTGCATCTGCTGTGCAGATGATTTTTTTTCAGAGCAGAAATATCTCTGGCTGTATGTATTTCTTGCATTATATCCTAAAGATTATATCCTAAAAGAAGGTACAACGGAAAAGTTGGAAGTAAAGGGTGCTTACAGTCAGTTTTGTTCCTCAGAGAGGCACCCAAGGAGTGGCAGTCGCTGTGTATTCATGGCATATCCCTAATATCCCCTTAAAAACCTTATGCTAAATATGGTGCAGAAATACTTGTCTATCGGGCCTGAAAACTGTTTGTTGCCACCTTAGTGTGAGCCAGGTGTGTCTATGTTACTGAATTTCTTTGCAAGTTTTCATGATAATAGCCTCCTCAGTCTTAGCAACAACTTCTCAAGCTTTTGGGGAAACTTTTCTCCAGTCTGATTTTAACACTGGAAAGTAAACAGAAGGTAATATAATTTTCTTATATTATTTCAGTAGCTCTGAGATCATTAAGTAGTCTGTTAATTATGTCACTTTTTTATTTTTTGAGTCACCTTTTAAAACAGATTCTGCTGCAAGAACAGAAGCAACAAAAGCAGTTCATCACTACACTCTGTTCCTGTAAGAATGCAGGGCAGGCAAAATTTGTTGTTTCAGCAGACTAAGACGAAAAGAGAAGTAAACTAGGACAGCAAGTTTGGGTCAACACGTGAATGTAGCCCATGTATAAAGGTTGTCAGTAGGCAGGATGGAATGGCTCTGTTTATTAGCCAGATCCTGACTTGCAAATTGTGTTAGCACACAAAAAAAATCTCACACACACAAAAAAATCTATAAAGGTTGTCAGTAGGCAGGATGGAATGGCTCTGTTTATTAGCCAGATCCTGACTTGCAAATTGTGTTAGCGGGGGGCACATGAAGGAGTGGGAGCAGACATGGGAAACACTGCTGCATGGAACTGTGTTTCAAAAAAAATCTCAGCCAACACACCAAGAGTACACATCTATGTTTCTTCCTTTGTAAGGAAAAGCCCCTTTCAGTGGAAAAGAGGATGCAGTCAGACAGTGTAACCTTAAGCCCTACCTGGTTATGTCCGGCCAGGATGGGGCCTGTTTCAACCTTGCTGGAAGAGGTTGCTCACTGCAGCACTCCAAATGCTTCCTAGGATACCATCTGCCTTTCTTTTCTGGGGTGATTGGTTTTTTGGTGTTTCAGTCACTTTTTTTTGAGGAGAAGCAGCTAGTTCCCTCTGTTTCAGTAGTATGGCACACTGTGAAACCATACTGGCAGTAAATGGACCCCAAAGATCAAGGCCACAGCAAGTACGATGTAGTCTTATGGCTGCCTGTCAGCGTGGGGAGCTGTCAATCTCAGCTCATGTTTGTCTTCAGCAAACTGCATAAACACCTAGTGTTTGCCTATCAGCTCTTAGGCATGTCTCATCAATGAAAAAAAACATCCTGGAAATATCTTTCTTGTTTCCTCACAGTCACTGTGATGTAACAGAAAGCAAGACCACACTTCTGTCTTCTCCTTCTCCTTCTCCTTCTCCTTCTCCTTTCCTTTCCCCTTTCCTTTCCTTTCCTTTCCTTTCCTTCCCTTTCCTTCCCTTTCCTTCCCTTTCCTTCCCTTTCCTTCCCTTTCCTTCCCTTTCCTTCCCTTTCCTTCCCTTTCCTTCCCTTTCCTTCCCTTTCCTTCCCTTTCCTTCCCTTTCCTTCCCTTTCCTTCCCTTTCCTTCCCTTTCCTTCCCTTTCCTTCCCTTTCCTTCCCTTTCCTTCCCTTTCCTTCCCTTTCCTTCCCTTTCCTTCCCTTTCCTTCCCTTTCCTTCCCTTTCCTTCCCTTTCCTTCCCTTTCCTTGTCCTATGGAGATGTAGAGGGAGATATTTTATTCATTAACACTTCTTGGGGTGTTTTCACTACGTTTGGGTTTCTAGACCCTTTCTCAGCACATCAGGTTAGTAGTACGGCATTCTAGGAATTATTCTAAAAATACATAAAAGGAGGTTCTGTTCATGCCTCTGACTGAACCCTAGTGTAACTCTTACAATAGATCAAAAAAGTAAAAAATCAGAAAAGTAGAAAAGTAGAGCAGAACTATTACGGAACGGGGCAGGAGGGGAGGGAAGAAAGAGAACTAACAGTGCCAGGAAGAAGTATAGAACATGGAGGAGAGCTAGACATTCAAAGCTGAAGGATATCTTCTGTGATACATGCACAAGTCCTTATGAGGACTGTGAATTCCTGTGCTCCAATGCAAATCTGATTATTAATACAGCTTGCGAGTGCTTTGGCCCACCTTCTGAGGACAACTGTGTTTTTGTGTTGTATACTCCAGCCCACTAGTGTATTAAAGCAGTCAGACCAATGAGACATCCCAAGTGTCTCCTGAATGGAAGTGTTCAATCCTCATCACGTGTGTTATGCTACAGCTGTAGAGTTATGAACTGCCAATTGACATTAGGACTGTATCAGTGGATGCCGGGACAGGAGCAAAATCTTTACGTGCTTTCCAGGTCACTGTGCTTTTCTTTCTGGCCATCACTTTTGGCCATTTTGTCCATCACTTGTGTTGATTAAAACTGAGTAATCATTTGGCAGTTTTGGATCTGGAAGAGCAGACTTGGATCACTCCTGGAGCCCATCATCACACTTACTTGTTTAGTAAGAAGGTATTTTTATATGTGTCTAAAAGAGAAAGAAAACAGGGAAATTTGTTAGGTTTGATCCAACATATTTCAATTCTGCTGTGATAGCTCTCAAAAACAAAAGAAAAAATTCCAACCTTGCAGGACACCTTCTAGATTCTCATAATCATTTTGGCCTGACAAACCAGTCCTCCTGCCAAGGGTTGTTACCTCTCTGTAACTGGACAGTGGGCTTTTCACAGGTATAATAAAACTCTTCTTTACATTGTGTGTTATATATGGCATCAGAATAACAACATCCACAGTATTTGGGGCCATTTGCAAACTGTCCCCTAGGAAAGAAAAATATTGTTACATCTCACCTCTTTCAAATGGTACATCCTTGCCCCTTCCGAAAAGAGACGTCTTTGCAAAAATTACTTATGTGGCTTTCATGAAGAATATATACTTCTAACAAAGAAATAAAGCGTTCAATGACTCCTAGGAGGCTGATCCTGTCCTGAACATGCCAATGAGCACTCCCAGCAGACTCTAAGGGTGGATCCTGAAATATTTCTTGTATCCAACCATAAGGAACATTAATTCCTGGGTACAGACTGGAGCATGTCAGTGGCTGTTTCAACAGAAGTGTTATGAGGAGCCTGCCCAATAATGAAAAGACAAATTGGCAAAGCAGGTTTGAAAGTAAGAAGAAAAATACATTGTATTTTTGAAATAACATGTTAAACCAAAAGGTAATTATTCTGGAGAATAAATAGTGTTTTATATAAAAATTTTAAAAGCATAAAATCAAAAGCATGAAATGACACACCTTTTCATTGAAGTTTTTTCTCATTTCTCCACTGAAACAAAATGTCAAATACAAGAGAAACATGATATTTACGGTCATTCTGAAACTAAATTGTGGAAATAAATTTTCCCAGTAATAGTGCCTAGATCACCCTCCAAGCAGTTCTGGGTGAGACCAACAAAAAGTCTGAAATTAAAAAATGAGACCCAGAATACAGAGAAAGCGACACAGATGTTGAGTCTTCAATGTGCCCTTCGTGGTAGTGAAACTGAGAGTTGCATGTGGGTGAGAACTGACTTTAAGTATTTGGTGTTGACAGGAAATGGCATGTCCAGAAACCATCCCTCAGAACCCTTTTCTTAAGGAAACTGAGTCCTGAAACCCTGGTTCCACTGCCAGGTCCCACACTAGCACACACGTGGCCAGGCTGGGCACCTCTCTGAGGGCACTGCGTGAAGCAGAGATGCTCATTGCCTGCTTTGTAGGTGGTCACATATGAGAAGACACAGGCTCACCCAAGGAGAGAGACCTGAGTTCAGCCACAGAAGACACATCGCATTTCCTCCCCTGCCATGTTGAAAGAAAAGCCTTCATCAAAACTTGTTTATTTACAGTTATTTTTAAGGGTTTTTTTCCCCTTCCAAGCACAGCTGATTTCCTATTGCTGGCAGTGTATTTGGGAAATTCGCATGCAGCTCCTTCTTTGTCATCTTGAGGTCTCTAAGTTGTGTC